CCCAAGATTTAATTTTAAAATGTAGCATTTACACGTATGTGCATCGAATTATTATAATTGAACAAATAAAAAAAGCTTCAAAGTTACTTAATCAATTTTATCGTTTATTTACCTTGGCATTTTTCATGTTTACGCAATAAACAGAAACGTTTTTATACAATATTATGAAAGCTCGGCAAATTTCTCGCAACATTTCTCTTCACTCATGCATACGAGAAGTAGAAGAAGATAAAATCTACTTCCTTCCTAAATTCACGTGTCCATATAGAAGCCGGGAAAACGTCGCTGAAAAATACACCGTTCACTTTATCGCTGAGCGCAACGCAAATACATTTTTCCGAATTGCATACGCATAAATTTATTTGTGCGGGTCAACGAGCTAACGTTCTCTCTATTCGAAGATACAGTTATTTTCTAAATTCAGATGCGACCACGAAAGTGGCACACACACACACATACACAACCTTATATGTGCATATAAATACATATATACACTGAGAAAAATCGTTTGATTGTATCAACAAGACGTATATGATTGAAGACATTTTGGTTAAATCAAACAAGAATTTCTAGTTATCATGATAAGACTCGATTTTTTATAACTAGAACGTTTAATAGATTTTACTATAAGGATTTGGTCAATATTTTCTGGTTGCATCTATAAAATTTCTTGTTACATTAATTTCTTTGCTTACTCTCTTAACTTAACTCGTATTCAATATTTGCCATAAAATGTATATAAAGAACTAGTATTAACATTAAATCCAAAGTATATTTTTTTTCTTACGAGCAGTAGTACCAGAAAGAGGACGCTAGCTCTCTGATTGTGTGTGTTTGAGCTGCATCCTCTTCTTGCATCACTGTTTACCAGTTTAATTTCTAACAAACTCAATTTAAAATAATTTATTCGATAATCTGGATTGAATTTATCCAATAATCTTGTTGGAATTCAGAATATTAAACAGACTTTTGAGATTAGATGGACAAAATTTTAGACGACTTGGTGCTGGCGAGTTTAGTATTATTAACCAGAAAATTTGGTAAATTTAACAGGAAGAAATTAATCAGATTCATCTGGTAATTCCTACAAGAATTCTGGTTCGTCCATTTTTCAACAGACATACTGCTTGAATCCAGAATTCTAATTAATGCAACCAGATTTTTTTCTCAATGTATATATATATATATATATATATATATATATATATATATTTTTTTTTTTTTTGTTTAAACCAGGCGTGGGAATCTCATTGCTGGCACATGCAGGTTCGTCGGCTGCCCACATTATGCACGGGTGGAGACGCATGCATACAATGACGTAGTCTGTGCACGTGGACGGAATACGTACACAAAGATCAAGCGTGATTCACCCTCGGTTTGTTTGTCGTTAATACATGAGAGTGACACGGACAGTGTATTTCAGTATACAATTCAGTATGCCTTGGAAAAATGTTCATTTGCAGAAAACTTTTATGCTCGTCGCTAGTTTATAATTTTAAGCTTTATTTAGCTTTGGGATTTTATTCACGGGAAATCATGCTTGCCAGATGTACGCGTATATAATAGGAGAGAAATATCGTAAAAGTTTTATTCAAATTAAAATTAAATTAAATTAAATTAAATTAAATTAAAACGACGCAGCAATTACCATTTAGTGTACCTTGAAGCATAAATTCGACTATTTGCAAAAGCCAATATGAAATATTCTTTTTTAATGTTTTTTCAATCTTTTTTATACATAAAGAAAGTAAGCAATCGAGACAATGATAACTCATTTTAATACATAAAGAAAATGAACAACAGAGACAATAGTAGCTATTTTGTAAAAATTGCGTGACAATTAATACAATAAAAGAACTGTTTCTCGCGACAGTATTTTACCTGTAATTGCATTTTAAATCGAATTTATAACTATGCGCAAATCGAGATATAAAGTATTCATTTCTATTGTTTTCATGTCTCTATTACTGAGACAATTCTTAGCTGAATTTTTCAGGATCGATAATGCCGATTATAATTTAATTGCAATAATCGTGACAATGCAATCTGCATGAATAAATTCAATCGTATCTTTTAAATTGATGTAAATAATCGCTAAAATTGCACTCTCTCATCTTCCTCTATAAAATTTATGTGCGTGTATGTGTACACATACACACAACATGCATGATGCGATTCAGTGTCTACTCTTAGATATGAATCGCAGTCCCAGAGCTTATTCCGCGATATCTCGGAGAACATATATACATATCGAGCGACTAATCCACGGATAAAATTAGATGCGCCAGCGAAGGCGGGACTCCGAGGGACGACGGAGTCGTCGACGCAGGTTAACAAATTGGCGACACATGGGAAATCTTAGGTGTCTTTACTTCTTCAGCAGCACTTACGGATGCATGGAGCTCCTCTTTCTTTTCGCGTTGAAAATGTATAACCTGAATTTCCCACGTGCCGAGTTGCGTTATTTCCATTCTCCTGGTTCACGACCGATTCGAATTCGATGTTTGTTTCCGTATGTGTGTGTGTGCGTATGTGTAATTGCTATTAAATAATATCTCGATTCACAGATGGAAGATTTATTATAATACGGGCGGAATTATTTCGATGACCTGTGCGGTTGCGAAATAGAGAAGTCAGCCATAATTATTTCACAATAACACGATAACAATTGGTGTCACTCGATATTATACGAATTATACAGCAATTCGAAAGTAAGTTAATTGTTAGAATATAATATCGTAGTTTATTACGTAGTAATTTTACCAAAAGGGCCGTATTATTGATGCTAATACAACAAGAAGCTAGAAAAGAAGGCTTCTTTTTTTTTCCTTTCCACGGTAAAATGATGGAATTCTCCTCGGAAGCAAGCTGTATTATTGATTTTCGTGAATATCTGTTAATTGCGATTTGTTGCATCGTGCTTCTATTGGGGTTTACCGAAATCGTCAAAGGGAGGGCGAGCGAAATACCATATCATGGTGAACAGAAAATCGATAATCGTTACATCGTATAGAATGCGGCGCAAAACGATTAACGGCAGTTTTTTAATTGGATACATTTTCGCGATATTCGATGAAAAACATTTCTCGTCGAACGAAATATGAGAATGCGCCAGGGAAATAAACGAGCTGCGGTTGTTGCCTACCTACCGCGATCTTTATTGCTCGGATTAATGCGGAGGATGAAAATTTCTCGGCAAATAAAAATGAAACGTAATGTTCGTTTTAAACTCACGGTTACAAATCAGTATACGGTGCAAACATAACAGTCATGCTTGTTTATATATTAGCATATCGATGGGTAGATAAATACAATTTGGATATTGATCGCTAAAACTTTTTAGTATAAAATAATTCGTCTGCGATATTTTCTAATAGATAGACTTTTACAAAATTAATTCAGGAAAATATAATTATAAATTGTATCTCACTTTCTCTCTTTTTTCAGTTAATTTTACCAATGTCAATAATTTAATGCACATTATATAGTTCTTAAATACAATTAAATAATTCATGGTGACTAGAACAGGAATCATTTCGGTAAATCAATAAATGGATTTTCTTATGATAATCCTGCTCTTCATGTTCAATTTTTGGAGAAACTAAAGCAAAATTATAAGGTTATTCACCTTCCTTATTTTCAATTTTTTTCGTTAAAAATAACATTTAAAATAAATTTTTAAAAATATAATTTTTATTCGAAATGTTATATTAAACTTGAGATTTAAAAAATAGGAAGAAATCACAGAGGTATTATTGTGATTTAATTATAAATTATATATGTTATATTAAACTTGAGATTTAAAAAATATTATTGTGATTTAATTATAAATTATATGTGTTATATTAAACTTGAGATTTAAAAAATAGAAGGAAATCACAGAGGTATTATTGTGATTTAATTATAAATTATTCGATTTTATATATATATATATATATATATATATATATATATATAAAATCGAATAATTTATAATTATATCACAATAATACCTCTGTGATTTCCTCCTATTTAAGTTTAATATAACATTTCGAATAAAAATTATATTTTTAAAAATTTATTTATATATATATATATATATATAATATATATAAATAAATATATATATGTAAAATAATATAAAATAAATATAAATATAAATATAAATATATATAATATATATATGTATATTCAGCAATCCACAGGACAGATTAATGGTGAAAAAACGAATCGCCATTAACGTGCATATTAAAGTTGAGCATTTGGCCATTGAGAGATGCAATTCACATGAAAAACGAGTGATACCGCGTCAGACAGTGACTTTTCAGAGTGACGAGAGAGAGGGAGAAAAAAAGAAAAGTGCTCTCCAGTGTACCGAAAAACAGGCATGCATAGTAAATAGATGGACGAGAACTTCCGAATTCCGTCATTCTCGTGTGGCAGTTTGCTGCCGGCTGGACGTGTTTAATAAAAGCGCCAGCGGAAGTAAACGGCGATGGAAATTATCCCGCATTCTCGTCGAAGAGCGCCGCGTGAAGTTTAATATTTCGTCGTCGAAAGAGCTCGCGGGAACTTGACGAACGTACACGATGATATCGTGCAGCCACGCAATTGCATGACATAGATTTACACGAATGCGTTTACGTTCGCCGAAATATAAGTAGATCCCAAGTAGAATTAAACTGCGCTTCCCCTGTTGCGCGCAAATTCGCCTTTGAAAAAGTTCTTTACGCGATGATCAAAACGAATGCAACGGCGAAGCAAAATGCAATTTTATCTCGTTTGCCATACTCCCCGGAGTGCGTACATATGGTATGACAAATGTGCTGAAAAAAAAAGGGAAAAAAGAAAAATTGAGAGCTTTGGGAAATTTCAAAAATTGGACATTCCGAGCATCGGTCCCGTTAGTGCGGTATTTTAATTCGTTACTCATGTCAAATTCAATGATTGAACTGACGAGATATCACTGTTATCTTTTCATACATAGTGTCCTTTAATATATTGTACGGATACACACTCACCCTTTGAGGGACGCCCATCCTTGCGCGACCGTGCCTGGGAGAGCCTTGAGCTTGCTGTCCTTGTTTCTCTTTCCTATGAGTCTTCAATCCTCGTAACAATCTCGAAAATGTCGTCTTTTTCTTACTCGTATTTTGTCCCTGTTCTGTAACAACAGTGAAACGGAATGAATTATTTAAGAGCAAGTTCTCAAAGCAATAATGGAATATTATATGGGTTTAATGCATAATAAAATAGCTTCTTCTCCGCAGAGGAAGAATGTTTTCTCTATTACCACGCATTATAATTATTCATTGATCTCTAATTGTTTATTTATTTCAGTCTCTTGTTTGTGATACTGCGTATATCAAATTTAGGAATTATCTTTTTACAATTTAAAACAGTAGATTTCACTGATATATTTTAAAAGCGTATTCCCGATTCAATCAAAATTTTAAAGTGTAACTGATCAAGAGCGGACAATCAAACGCGCAAATAAAAATTTATTTTTCAATTATTTTTGCATTTCAATTCTCGCACAAACAAAATCATTATATTTGACACAATAGAGAAGATAAAAGAAAATTTAATCGAATATTATTGGAACACATGAGAGATATATTATCAGGATAATAATTTTAATTTCTTTTGATGTTTTGAAATGTTTCGCTTTATTTCTTTTTACGCGGATTATAAAATGCCTGTGAGAATTAAATCGAAACAAAAAATGAAGAATCAGAATTTCTTTCCTTTTTCGAACGATAAAATTATTTTGTTAAAAACATTACGTGCATTATATATACAATTTTCTAAATCGGAATTTTATCAATTTTATTATAATTTTATTTATTTTATATATTTTATTATAATTTTATTTATTCAAGTATAATTCTTGAAGCATTTTCTTTTTTTGTTAGAATTGATTATTCTCAAAGCGCTCTGTATAAATTCTTCGATCAGATCAAAGACTAATAAAAACTTGTATTTCTTCTGCATAAACTGTGAACGCAATTTTAAGTTCTCACATAAATTGTATTCTCGTTCATTGAACGAACAGCATGCAATCCGCTTATAAACGATGAGATAGTTATGAAATCGATACAAACAATCTCTTTCATAAATACGCCAATACATATTGGACTTTTTGAGATGATTATCATACATTGATTACTCGTTTTGGTTAGTCGCATTCGCTTTATCATTCTTTATGACCGGCACTCGCAAATTAAATCGGATCAGAGTGGATTTTAGTTGTATCATTTAATGGCCGTGCACGAGAACCTTTCTGAAATCCCCAGTTTGAATAGTGAATCACTATGCTACAAGCTACTAATCTCGGAAATAATCGAATGAATCGGGATTCTCCGCAATATTGCTATTTATTAACAAATAATTCGGATATGCTGTTAGTTATCCGGTTGCTCTTTCACACGATGATGGTTATTATATGTATAGTGTATGATGTCAACGCATCCATTAATTAAAATTGATGTAACGTCACGTAATTAACAATCTTTGTGACTTTTAAGTGTTAGCTGGAATGATTTATTGAGCCTTCAATTGAACGGTTATCATCTTGTAAAGGTAAGGATTAATTTTTATTGGCTATAAACAAAATAGTACTAATTGAAACTAGACATTCCGTTGAATATTTTTCAAATTCATCAATAGATAAAAAAATCAATAAATTGGTAACGTGAAATAAATCTCGAGCATTATAATTTACTTCATTTTTATTATGGTATTGACTATTAAATACTGCGTTAATCTCATAATAAAAAATTCTTAATTTAAATAGCACACAATTTATTTGTACAAACTATTAATTTTATATTATATAGAGGAATTTTCTTTGCCTGGTATTTATCGTTTATTGATTTTCTACTTTTCAATTTTCTTTAATAAATATTATGCTTTGCAGCGGTTTTTCGGGCATCTCTTCATTTAAATTAAAGGCAAACGATACGCCTATATTTGCGAAAAAACATTTTACAGGAAAACCAATAAAAGGGTATTAACGTCGTTGAGATCGTTACTGAGTATCTAGTTATATCGTGGCACGCGCAATTACGACAGTATCGTTAGCGGCGCAATGTCCCGATAGCGATGATATTACAAAATGAAGTTAATGCGCGAGCGGGGTAAACTGAATTTTCCCAGGCGAAACGCGTGTACAGGGCAAAGTGTTTATCGGATAGCTACGACTATTGGTTACGACATCCAAGTCGACGCTAACCAGTGATATCGTGATTTAATCAAGGACCATCGTAAAGCAATAATTAATGCCGCGCTATATCGATTTCGAGCGAAGCGACGCGTTAGGATAGCGTAACGTGTTAATTAGAAGGCCGCGGCGGAGGAGAAAGGGAAGAGGGAGAGAGAGAGGGAGGGGGAGAGAGAGAGAGAGATTATTATGCATGCGCGTATTTACATAGAAAATTATTCGTGCGAGGAGGGAAATGAATTAACGTTGTCGCGCAATTATTACGGTCCGCATTTTACGGAACGCGTTTCAGTAATAATGATATCGCATCGTCTGCGAAAATTCCATTATATTAACGTGACAAGCATTAAATGAGACTTTAGTTTCTTTAAATTGGCCTTACGCCGCATTTACGCTGCATCAACGAAGCATGTCAACGAATTATATCTATAATGCACATTTTGTATTTACTTGTATGATACGCTTTTAAATCAATATCTAGAATAATTAAAATATTCCAAACGCGCACTGAGAAAAAATCTGGTTGCGTTAATTAGAATACTGGTAGATTCAAACAGTATGTCTGTTGGAAAATGGACGAACCAGAATTCTTGTAGGAATTACCAGATGAATCTGATTAATTTCTTCCTGTTAAATTTACCAAATTTTCTGGTTAATAATATTAAACTCGCCAGCACCGAGTCGTCTAAAATTTTTTCCATCTAATCTCAAAAGTCTGTTTAATATTCTGAATTCCAACAAGATTATTGGATAAATTCAATCCAGATTATTGAATAAATTATGTTAAATTTAGTTTGTTAGAAATTAAACTGATAAACAGTGCAAGAAGAGGATGCAGTTCAAACACACAAACAGAGAGCTAGCGTCCTCTTTCTGGCACTACTGTTCGTAAGAGAAAAAAAATATACTTTGAATTTAATGTTAATACTAATTCTTTATATACTTTTCATGGCAAATATTGAATACGAGTTAAGTTAAGAGAGTAAGCAAAAAAATTAATATAACAAGAAATTTTAGATTCAACCAGAAAATACTAACCAAATCCTTACACAGTAAAAAACATTTTGTATTTCTGTTAAAATTTTCTCGTGTAAAAATTTTTGTGTTAAATTTTTAACATATTTATTCTTATGTTAATGTAACATATTATCATTGCGTTATTTTGACATTTCTGCGTCGAGTTAATATTCATCGTTTCTAAGAGTTAAAACAACACAATTAATATGTAAATGCACGAATTTTTGATGAAATATGTTATATGTTAAAATGAACAGATAAGTTGTGTTATTTTTCTCTCTATAACAGTTTCCATATGTTAAATCGATATATTTCTTCTCTTATTTATCATAAAAATGTAAGAATAACATTTTCTTTTAATTAAATTTAACATTATAAATATGTTAATTTAACATAAACTTTATTTCCAGATAAAGTTTAAGTGTTACACTTTTGGGTTAATTTTTAAACATATTACTTGTGTTATTTATTTACACACTTGCCTTCTGTTAAATTAACATTAAAATTAGAGTGGATAAATTGGGACACGTGAAACATGTTAAATTTAACACAAAATTTGTTACTGTGTAGTTATAAAAAATCGAGTTATTATAATAACTAAAAATTCTTGTTTGATTTAATCAAAATGCCTTCAATCATATCGTCTTGTTGATACGTAATCAAACGATTTTCTCAGTGTAGAATAATTAAAATATTCTAAAAGCGATAAACAAAGAGGAATATATTATGTTTCTTCTGATATACACATATCAAGATTCAATTGCCCGCCACTTTCACGAAAATGGATTTGCTCCTCCGCAGATCCCCCGCAATTACTCACGGCCGCAATTAAGACAAGTTACTAACAAGGGTTTCCTGCGCTCAAGTGCATTTCCGTATGTGGGTTAACGGATCACCATGCGGCAGCATCCGTCTTCCGTCGGCCCTTACCCGACAAAAGGATTTCCACGGGGCGCAGGAAATACTGGGGGCTAATTTCTGAAATCGAACCAGCTGCAACGACCACCGTTCCTGCCGCCAGCTCGAGCGCCGCGGATGGGGTACATCCATGAATTCCCCGGAAGCCGCTATTATTCTAGAGAGGATCGTACGTATTTTACCGCGGTCGGTGGCAGCGAGAGAGCGCGCGCGGAGAAAGGGGGGCGAACGAGCGATATGGGCAAAGAATACAAGAGACTCGCGGGACCACGAGAGTTGGAATGTCGTCCCGTAATATCGGAAATATATCGCCGGGACTGTAACCACAAGTCATGTTCAATCGAATGAATCGTATGGAATAAAAATAAACCTGCCTACCGCGGAGACGGAAGGTCCAATACCCTCGCGGGGTCCGTGACGCGGGGATACGGGGGGTACAGGATGCGGCGGAGGAAGAAATTCGAGGGAAAGGAAGACACCGACGAGAGAGGAAAGCAGAGACCGGAGGGGAGAAACGGCGTGGGACGGGGAAGACTCGAGGGGGATCGAACAAATGTTCCGGCGGCACATGCATCAAATCCTGAAGTTGCGTGAGAGATGGAGTCCCTGCTTGCTCAGCGGCGAGCCGCGATAAAACGGCCAGGCCGAGTTCGTCCTCTTCATCGTCGTCGGCATTCGCACCGAAACCAAGTTCGAGCGGTACTTAAGGATGTATTGGACGGACTCCGTCTGTCTCAAAAGTTAATCCAAAGTATCAAAAAATTAAAGTTGGGCAGAATACGAATTCTAATTGATCAACAATTTTTTAAAAATCACGAAATCATACTTCAAAATATTCTTTAATATAAATAGGTCTTAATTTCCAAGAAAATGTTGCCACGTTTTATCATCAATATTGCGTCAAACCGATAATCACAGTTATTTTTTAATAATAATTTCAAAACGAGCAAGTAAATCGTTTTAAAACTTTGTGGAAACATTTTTACATGTATGAAGAATATAATATT